TTGTAAACTTTCTCTGTGCGTGTGGCACCGGAGCGCGTCACTCGTGGCCGAGCGGTGGCGCAGTGGTGCGCGCACTGCGCTGTGGCGTCACAGAGACAAAGACTCCCGCGTGCGCTGTTGGCGAGCCCCTGGCAAGGCCGCCAGATCGCGCGCACGAAGCCACCAGCACCGGCTCTGCGTCCCGTGGCGGTGCTGACGCTTCACAGCATCGCATCAGCTGCGACCCAGGGTGGCGCCCCAAACACGATGCGAACGTCGAGTTTGGCCGCATTCCTCTAAGCGGGAATGGCGCAGCGCCGGGGTCGTTTCCCGCAGCAGCAGCGCGCAACGACCCCGCTCCACCCCCCACGACCCCGCAGCAGCTCCACGCCGCTGCCTCTCAGCGCATGAACCCAAACAGCCCCGTGGCCCCTCCCAAATCCCCTCTCCCCGCCTGCCTTCACCATGAGCACGAGGGGGGAACGCGTAATAGGAAAGGAATGGTGACCTACATAGAGAGAAACGACAACTAAACTGTGCTTAATTTTACCAGATAAAGCTACCCTGTATGATCCCTCCCTGTGCTGCAGAGTGAGTGGAGTTTGTGTGATCTACCCCTGTTCTGTAGAGTGAGAGTGAGTGGAGTTTGTGTGATCTACCCCTGTTCTGTAGAGTGAGTGAGTGGAGTTTGTGTGATCTACCCCTGTTCTACAGAGTGAGTGTGAGTGGAGTTTGTATGATCTCCCCCTGTTCTACAGAGTGAGTGTGAGTGGAGTTTGTATGATCTCCCCCTGTTCTACAGAGTGAGTGTGAGTGGAGTTTGTATGATCTCCCCCTGTTCTACAGAGTGAGTGTGAGTGGAGTTTGTATGTTCTACCCTTGTTCTACAGAGTGAGTGAGTGGAGTTTGTATGATCTCCCCCTGTTCTACAGAGTGAGTGAGTGGAGTTTGTATGTTCTACCCCTGTTCTACAGAGTGAGTGTGAGTGGAGTTTGTATGATCTCCCCCTGTTCTACAGAGTGAGTGAGTGGAGTTTGTATGATCTCCCCCTGTTCTACAGAGTGAGTGGAGTTTGTATGATCTCCCCCTGTTCTACAGAGTGAGTGTGAGTGGAGTTAGTGTGATCTCCCCCTGTTCTACAGAGTGAGTGTGAGTGGAGTTTGTGTGTTCTACTCCTGTTCTACAGAGTGAGTGGAGTTTGTATGATCTCCCCATGTTCTACAGAGTGAGAGTGAGTGGAGTTTGTATGTTCTACCCCTGTTCTACAGAGTGAGTGTGAGTGGAGTTTGTATGATCTCCCCCTGTTCTACAGAGTGAGTAAGTGGAGTTTGTATGATCTCCCCCTGTTCTACAGAGTGAGTGTGTGTGGAGTTTGTATGATCTCCCCCTGTTCTACAGAGTGAGTAAGTGGAGTTTGTATGTTCTACCCCTGTTCTACAGAGTGAGTGTGAGTGGAGCTTGTGTGATCTCCTCCTGTTCTACAGAGCGAGAGGAGTTTTTATTCTCTCCCCCTGTGCTACATAGGTTTCCTCCTGGCTCTGCTGTTTTCTCCTCTCTCACACAAAGTGTAACTGCTATCGGCCAAAACCATATCCCAGTGATGAAAATAGACCGGCAAATTTATCAACTGGATTGCACAGCAGCAACATCGCTCCTACTGCGACCAGCCTGGCAGGATCCTCCTGAATAAGAGCCTTGAGACTCGGCGGGGCTTTCCTGTGTAGACGAGAAGAAGAATAATAAGAAGACAAGAAGGAGGGCTTGGGCAGCAGAGAACGCAGCGAGAAGGGACGGCGATGGCCGGTGGTCGAGACGAACTGCAGAATGGCAGCTAAAGGAGGGAACATCGTCTCGTGACTGTGCGAGAGCTGGGTGCCTCGTTCACTCACTCAACCACTCGTGTACCCACTCACTCACGCGCTCATTCACCCACACACTCACCCAATCACTCACTCACCCACACTCTCATTCACCCACACACTCACCCAATCACTCACACAACCACCTACCCACTCACCCATATACTCACCCACCATCTGGCTCACTCACCCACCTACTCACTCACCCACCTACTCACTCACACACCTACTCACCCACCTACTCACTCACCCACCTACTCACTCACCCACCTACTCACCCACATACTCACTCACCCACCATCTGGCTCACTCACCCACCTACTCACTCACCCACCTACTCACTCACCCACCTACTCACCCACCTACTCACTCACTCACCTACTCACTCACCCACATACTCACTCACCCACCATCTGGCTCACTCACCCACCTACTCACTCACCCACCTACTCACTCACCCACCTACTCACCCACCTACTCACTCACTCACCTACTCACTCACCCACATACTCACCCACCATCTGGCTCACTCACGCACCTACTCACTCACCCACCTACTCACTCACCCACCTACTCACTCACCCACATACTCACCCACCTACTCACCCACATACTCACTCACCCACCTACTCACTCACCCACCTACTCACTCACCCACCATCTGGCTCACTCACCCACATACTCACTCACCCATCTACTCACTCACCCACATACTCACCAACTCACTTACCCACCTACTCACTCACCCACATACTCACTCACCCATCTACTCACCCACCCACATACTCACTCACCAACTCACTTACCCACCTACTCACTCACCCACATACTCACTCACCCACCTACTCACTCACTCACATACTCACTCACCCACATACTCACCCACCTACTCACCCACATACTCACTCACCCACATACTCACTCACCCACCATCTGGCTCACTCACCACACCGCATGCCACACCGCTTCTCTCTCTCGGCTTCTCCCCTCCCCACTCTGCTCCGCTTTGCGAATTTACTCCCCCCCTCACCCCCAAAACCACCCACGCTCTTCCAACAACAACCACAACCACCCACGCTCTTCCAACAACAACCACAACCACCCACGCTCTTCCAACATCAACCACAACCACCCACGCTCTTCCAACAACAACCACAACCACCCACGCTCTTCCAACAACAACCACAACCACCCACGCTCTTCCAACAACAACCACAACCACCCACGCTCTTGCAACAACAACCACAACCACCCACGCTCTTATAGCAACAACCACAACCACCCACGCTCTTACAGCAACAACCACAACCACCCACGTTCTTACAACAACCACAACCACCCACGCTCTTACAGCAACAACCACAACCACCCACGCTCTTATAGCAACAACCACAACCACCCACGCTCTTCCAACATCAACCACAACCACCCACGCTCTTCCAACATCAACCACAACCACCCACGCTCTTACAACAACAACCACAACCACCCACACTCTTCCAACAACAACCGCAACCACCCACGTTCTTATAGCAACAACCACAACCACCCACGCTCTTCCAACAACAACCACAACCACCCACGCTCTTCCAACAACAACTACAACCACCCACGCTCTTCCAACAACAACCACAACCACCCACGCTCTTCCAACATCAACCACAACCACCCACGCTCTTCCAACAACAACCACAACCACCCACGCTCTTCCAACAACAACCACAACCACCCACGCTCTTCCAACAACAACCACAACCACCCACGCTCTTGCAACAACAACCACAACCACCCACGCTCTTATAGCAACAACCACAACCACCCACGCTCTTACAGCAACAACCACAACCACCCACGTTCTTACAACAACCACAACCACCCACGCTCTTACAGCAACAACCACAACCACCCACGCTCTTATAGCAACAACCACAACCACCCACGCTCTTCCAACATCAACCACAACCACCCACGCTCTTCCAACATCAACCACAACCACCCACGCTCTTACAACAACAACCACCCACACTCTTCCAACAACAACCACAACCACCCACGTTCTTATAGCAACAACCACAACCACCCACGCTCTTCCAACAACAACCACAACCACCCACACTCTTCCAACAACAACTACAACCACCCACGCTCTTCCAACAACAACCACAACCACCCACGCTCTTCCAACACAACCACAACCACCCACACTCTTCCAACAACAACCACAACCACCCACGCTCTTCCAACAACAACCACAACCACCCACGTTCTTATAGCAACAACCACAACCACCCACGTTCTTACAACAACCACAACCACCCACGCTCTTCCAACAACAACCACAACCACCCACGCTCTTCCAACACAACCACCCACACTCTTCCAACAACAACCACAACCACCCACGCTCTTCCAACAACAACCACAACCACCCACGTTCTTATAGCAACAACCACAACCACCCACACTCTTACAGCAACAACCACAGCCACCCACGCTCTTCAAACAACAACCACAGCCACCCACGCTCTTCCAACAACAACCACAACCACCCACGCTCTCCGCCCGTGAGGACGACTCTGACACCGGTGCTGTTTGTCGCTGCCCGCCACACGGGGTTGGCCCTTCGGGCCCTGCTGCTGTGCTCGGTCGGAAGGGAACTCGGATGAACGTTCACCGGTGTAGTGTGTGGTTGGTGTGTGTGGTGTGTGTGTGTGGTGTGTGTGTGGTGTGTGTGGTGTGAGTGTGTGTATGTGTGGTGTGTGTGGTGTGAGTGTGTGTATGTGTGGTGTGTGTGGTGTGTGTGTGGTGTGTGTGGTGTGAGTGTGTATATGTGTGTGGTGTGGTGTGTCTGGTGTGTGTGTATGTGTGTGTGGTGTGTGTGGTGTGTGGTGTGAGTGTGTGTGGTGTGTGTATGTGTGTGTATGTGTGGTGTGTGTGTGGTGTGAGTGTGTGTATGTGGTGTGTATGTGTGTGTGGTGTGTGTATGGTGTGTATGTGTGGTGTGTGGTGTGTGTGTGTGTGGTGTGTGTGTATGTGTGGTGTGTGTGGTGTGTGTGGTGTGTATGTGTGGTGTGTGTGTGTGGTGTGAGTGTGTGTATGTGTGGTGTGTGTGTGCTGTGTGTGTGTAGGAGGGGGTTTAGCCCCAGCACTCGAGACGCGGTGCACAGAGCGAAGTTTTTTTTATTGCGGAGCTCCTCGACAACAGACGCGGTGGGGGGCTGAAGGGGGGGGGGGTCGTGGCGCGTGAACAACGGGGGGGGGGGCGTGGTGGAGTTGGGGGTGGCGCTGTGGAGGAGCGGCATCGCAGAGTTGGCATGAAGAAAACAAAACGAATCATCGACGCGACATCAGACACCCAAACTCCCACCCACGCCGCCCACCCGTCATGGAATTGGCCGAGACCTCTCAGCGTCTCCACTCGCTCCTCCAGCCGGCCCCGTGTGGCACAGGGCGACTCCCGAGTGGGGGGGGGGGGGACTTGCCGTGGCCAGGGGGCAGGGGGCCCTGTCGCGCAGGGGGCCCTGTCAGTCAGGGGGCCCTGTCACTCAGGGGGCCCTGTCACTCAGGGGCCCTGTCACTCAGGGGGCCCTGTCGTGCAGGGGGCCCTGTGACTCAGGGGGCCCTGTCGTGCAGGGGGCCCTGTCGTGCAGGGGGCCCTGTCGTGCAGGGCCATGGAGTTTTTGAGTGGAGCAGGAGGAGGGAAGTGAGAAGGTGGTGATGGAGGAAGAGGATTCGGGGGAGAAGAGGGTACGAGCTTTTGGAAAGAGGAGGAGGAGGAGGTGGTGGTGGTGGTGGTGGTGGTGTTGGGCGATGTGGAGGTGGAAGTCAAGTAGAAGAAGGTGGTGGAGGAGGAGAGATAAGGAGGTGGAGGAGGTGAAGGAGGAGGAGAGAGAAGGTGGCGATGGAGGTGGCGGAGGAGGAGGTGAAGGTGGTGGTGGTGGTGGTGGTGATGGAGGTGGTGGTGGAGGAGGTGAAGGAGTGGCAGCAAAAGAGACGACGGGATGTTGACGAAGGATGAGGATGAAGAGGAGCTGGTGGACGAGGTGGCAGCGGTGGCGGTGGGTAAGGAGGAGGAGGAGGAGGCCGATCTGCTCCACCAATCAGATCTTGCCCGAGCTCTCGAGGTACTCCTTGAAGAAGTCGCTGCAGGCCACGGTGAGGGCCGCCACGAGGATGATGAACTCCTGGAAGTCGACCTCGCCGTCCTTGTTGGAGTCGAGGTCCTTCATCACCTTGTCCACGGCGGCCGCGTCCTTCTGGCTCTGCCCTCCACAGCCACGTCGACCGTGTGAACATCGCGAGCGCTCCACCGTGATCACCGTTGTCCTCAAGGTCACCATCGTTGTCATCACCACCGTTGTCATCACCATCATTGTCACCATCATCATTGTCATCACCATCATTGTCATCATCATCATTGTTACCATCATCATTGTCATCACCATCATTGTTATCACTACCGTTGTCATCACCATCATTGTCACCATCATCATCGTCATCATCATTATTGTCATCATCATCATTATCACCATCATCATTGTCATCATCATTGTCATCATCATCATTTTCATCACCACCATTGTCATCGCCACCATTGTCATCACCATCATTGTCACCATCATCATTGTCATCATCATCATTGTCATCATCATCATCATTGTCATCACCACCATTGTCATCATCATCATTGTCACCATCATCATTGTCACCATCATCATTGTCATCACCATCATTGACATCACCACTATTGTCATCATCATCATCATTGTCACCATCATCATTGTCACCATCATCATTGTCATCACCATCATTGACATCACCACTATTGTCATCATCATTGTCATCATCATCATCATTGTCACCATCATCATTGTCACCATCATCATTGTCATCACCATCATTGTCATCACCACTATTGTCATCATCATCATTGTCACCATCATCATTGCCACCATCATCATTGTCATCACCATCATTGTCACCATCATTGTCATCACCACCATTGCCATCATCATCATTATCACCATCATCATTGTCATCATCATCATTGTCATCATCATCATCATTGTCACCATCGTTGTCATCACCACCATTGTCATCACCATCATTGTCACCTTCATCATTGTCATCATCCTCATTGTCATCACCATCATTGACATCACCACCATTGTCATCATCATCATTGCCAACACCATTATCACCATCATCATTGTCCTCATCATTGTCATCATCACCATTATCACCACCATTGTCATCACCATCATTGTCACCATCATCATTGTCCTCATCATTGTCATCACCATCATTGTCCTCATCATTGTCACCACCATTGTCATCACCATCATTGTCACCATCATCATTGTCCTCATCATTGTCATCACCATCATTGTCATCATCATTGTCACCACCATTGTCATCACCATTATCACCACCATTGTCACCATCGTTATCATCATCATTGCCACCATCGTTGTTATCACCATCATTGTCACCATCATCAGCATCATCATTGTCACCATCATCATTGTCATCATCATAATCGTAATCATCATTGTCATCATATTCAGCATCATCATCGTCATCATCTTCGTGATCATCATCGCGGTCGTCGTCATGATCATCATCATCGTCGTCATGATCCTCATCATCGTCATCATCATCGTCGTCATGATCCTCATCATGAGTTCCCCGTGATATTTTGTCACCTGGTAGATCTGTCATCATCGTCATCCTCGTCATTATCATCGTCCTCATCGTCATCATCGTCGTCATCCGCATCGTCATCATCGTCATCGTCATCATCGTCATCATCATCATCAGCATCGTCAGCATCGTCATCATCGTCATTATCGTCATCATCGTCGTCATCAGCATCGTCAGTATCGTCATCATCGTCAGCATCGTCATCATCCTCAGCATCGTCATCATCGTCATCGTCAGCATCGTCATCATCGTCAGCATCGTCATCATCCGCATCGTCAGCATCGTCATCATCGTCATCGTCATGATCGTCATCGTCATCATCATCAGCATCGTCAGCATCGTCATCATCGTCAGCATCATCATCATCGTCATCATCATTAACATCGTCATCATCTTCATTTAAAGCTTTCGTGACTGCAGTAATTCATAATCTTAGTTATTTCGGTAAAGTCACGTTGAAGGGAAACAACAAAATTATAAAATATATATAAAACAATAAAAATTATCACGACGTTTCGACCATAACACAAACGGTCGTCTTCAGGTGTGTTGGTCGACCGTTTGTGTTATGGTCGAAACGTCGTGAGAATTTTTATTGTTTTATATATATTTTATTATTCTGTTGTTTCCCTTCAACGTGACTTTACCGAAAGAACTAAGAATATCGTCATCATCATCAACATCGTCATCATCATCATCAACATCGTCATCATCGTCAGCATCGTCATCATCAGCATCGTCATCATCGTCATCATCAGCATCGTCATCATCAGCACCATCATCATCAGCACCATCATCATCGTCATCATCAGCATCGTCACCATCATCGTCGACGATGCGAACCTCACAATTAAAGTCAAGGAGAGCCACCACGAACAAAGACTCTCGGGGCGATTTAGTCAGGAGCGTCCTGCCCGCGGATGTCTGGCTAATTCCTTACTAACATACACATGAACACACACGGGCATGCACAGAACATACACACGCACGTGAACATACGAATGAACACTCACGTGAACACACACAGGAACACACGCACATGAATACGCATGAACACGAAAATGTGAATACACGCAAATAAACTCACGTGAATGTCCGTGAACACGCATACGTGAGCAAACGCGCGCGCGTGAACACACGCGTGTTGACACGCACGCGTGAACACAAGCGCGTGACACACGGCCGCGAGTGACACACGGCCGCGCGTGACACACGGCCGCGCGTGAACACAAGCGTGTGAACACAAAGCGCGTGAACACGCGCACTTGAATGCACATCAGCACGCGCGCGTGAACACACACACACACCCACATGTCTGTCTGTTCACTGCTGCGCTCACCCCGAGGAATCCGCTGAGCTCGTTGGTGAGCAGCTCCTTGAGTTCGCCCTTGTTCAGCTTGTACTTGTCGCCCTCCTTGCCCGAGTAGGCGTGGAACACGGCGATCAGGGTCGTCATGCAGCCCTCCAAGTCAGACATCGTGCTCGCTACGATCGCTGCTCGCCTGCCGTTGGGTTGTGGGAGCAGTGCGCGCGGTCAACTTCGCTCGCACCGTACCTTGTCTGCCGTGCTGTGTGTGTGTGTGTTCAACTTCGCTCGCACCGTACGGAGCTGACCGTGCTAATGTATGCCAAAATAAACAAACACCCTAAACTATTTTGTTATTTGACCAGGTAAGGCCCGCTGAGCTCTGTAGCTCTTTGGTCAGAAGCCACCTGGCCATCACGTGATAGCTCACCTGGCCATCACGTGATAGCTCACCTGGCCATCACGTGATAGCTCACCTGGCCATCACGTGATAGCTCACCTGGCCATCACGTGATAGCTCACCTGGCCATCACGTGATAGCTCACCTGGCCATCACGTGATAGCTCACCTGGCCATCACGTGATAGCTCAACGAAGTGGGCTCCTCATCATCATCATCGTCATCGCGTGGACATTGATAGCAGTCACCAAATGACTCTAAACGCGTAAAGTTCAGTCTAAATGCGGAGGGGAAACCACGTGACCACGGAGAGAGACACCGCAAATATATAGCAGCAGCAGCAGGCGTCAGGGTCGGGATCGAACCCACGACCTCCTGTATACCAGGCGAGGTAGTTAACATATCACCACCACCACCACTAAAGACGATATCCCCGCTCGCGTGAGCAGAGGCAGTGGTGGAGGCCCCATGGTACTAATGATTGTGTTTATCGAACCCCGGAGGGGAGGGATGATGATCGAGTCAACGTCACCACAATCCAGGATTCGCGCTCATCCAGCAGTGGATCGGCCATCATCAGCCACTGTCAATCCACTGCCGGATGAGTTCCTCCAGCGCTGGCTTTTGTTTATGACCATACTTCACCACGCCGGTCAGGCCGGGCTCGCGTGGTGCGCTAACCACTGCACCACCGCTCCCTCACCCGAACCGAACCCCAAATCTGCCGAGTCCAACTTTCGCGGCTATACCGGGAATCTTTGTCTGTGTGTGTGTCTGTGTGTGTGTCTGTGTGTGTGTGTCTGTGTGTGTGTGTGTGTCTGTGTGTGTGTGTCTCTGTGTGTGTGTCTGTGTGTGTGTGTCTGTGTGTGTCTCTGTGTGTGTGTCACAAGTTGTCTGTCTGTGTGTGTCTCTGTGTGTGTGTGTCTCTGTGTGTGTGTCTGTGTGTGTGTGTGTGTGTGTGTCTCTGTGTGTGTCTCTGTGTGTGTGTGACAAGTTGTCTGTGTGTGTCTGTGTGTCTGTGTGTGTGTGACAAGTTGTCTGTGTGTGTGTCTGTGTGTGTCTCTGTGTGTGTGTGACAAGTTGTCTGTGTGTCTGTGTGTCTGTGTGTGTGTGACAAGTTGTCTGTGTGTGTCTGTGTGTCTGTGTGTGTGTGACAAGTTGTCTGTGTGTGTGTGTGTCTGTGTGTGTGTGACAAGTTGTCTGTGTGTGTGTGTCTGTGTGTGTGTCTGTGTGTGTGTCTGTGTGTGTGTGTCAAGTTGTCTGTGTGTGTGTGTCTGTGTGTGTGTCAAGTTGTCTGTGTGTGTCTGTGTGTCTGTGTGTGTGTGACAAGTTGTCTGTGTGTGTGTGTCTGTGTGTGTGTGACAAGTTGTCTGTGTGTGTGTCTGTGTGTGTGTGTGTCTGTGTGTGTGTCTCAAGTTGTCTGTGTGTGTGTGTCTGTGTGTGTGTGTCAAGTTGTCTGTGTGTGTGTCTGTGTGTGTGTGTCAAGTTGTCTGTGTGTGTCTGTGTGTGTGTGACAAGTTGTCTCTGTGTGTGTGTGACAAGTTGTCTCTGTGTGTGTGTGTGTGTCTGTGTGTGTGTGTGACAAGTTGTCTCTGTGTGTGTGTGACAAGTTGTCTCTGTGTGTGTGTGTGTGACAAGTTGTTTCTAACTTTATTTGTTTTGACCGCGCACACGTTTCACTTCCCGGAGCGTCTTACAGTGCTGAGAAGACGGTCAGTAACGTGCACATACAACAAACATTACTGGTAAGTTGAAGGCCGGAACGGCACACGAGGGGGTGGGATAGCCAGCTCCACGCCCAGCCGCCTTTGTCTCCCCAGTGGCGATGTTTACACACCCCAACTAAGTTACTCATTTGAAGCTGAGTCGACCTAGGAGAGGCCCATGACCGATTCAGATAATTGTCACTGGTGTTGGCCGTGAGCGGGAATCGAACTCGGGTCGCCGGGTTCGTAGCGCAGCGTAGCGCTACCCACTACACTACCGCTCCACCCACCCCATGTACAGACACACACATGTACAGACACACACATGTACAGACACACACATGTACAGACACACACAAAGACAAAGATCCCCCATATAGCCTTAACAGACTGTAGGGGCAAGTGCTGTTAGCGAGCACCTATGAAGGCCGGAACGGTACACGAGGGGGTGGGTGGCCAGCACCACGCCCGACCGCCTTTGTCTCCCTAGTGGCAATGTTTTCACACCGCACCAGGTACTCATTTGAGGCTGAGTCGACCTAAGGGGAGGCCCGGGACCGGTTCAGATAATCGTCACTGGTGTTGGCCGTGAGCGGGAATCGAACCCGGGTCGCCAGGTTCATAGCGCAGCACGCTAACCGCTACACTATCGCTCCCCACAGACACGCACACACATGTACAGACACACACACACATGTACAGACACACACACACATGTACAGACACACACACATGTACAGACACGCACACACATGTACAGACACACACACATGTACAGACACACACACACATGTACAGACACACACACATGTATAGACACACGCACACACATGTACAGACACACACACATGTACAGACACACACATGTACAGACACGCACACACACATGTCCAGACACACACACATGTCCAGACACACACACTCACACGCATGAAGCAACGCCATCAATGTACCGTGCGTTGAACTTCTTTCGCACCGCACGTAGTCAACCCGTGCAACTCGTCTCGTGCCCCTGCCACTCACCCCGCCTTGACCGGCGTGGTGAAGTATGGTCAAGCGACCGACACTGACCCAAAGCAGCACGCGTTAGGGATTGGTGCGGCGGGGGAGGGGAGGTGGTGGCCGGGTGGCCGGGCCGGCCGGGCGGGCGGGCGGTCGGGAGCCCGTTACATCCAGCAGTGGATCGTCCGAGCCACCTCCCAGCGGCGAACCTCTCAACCCACTCACCTTGGGATGGGAAGGAATCGAGGGGGCTCGCAGGCAGCCGAGACGGAGTGAAGGAGGCTCGGGGGGAAGCTTGCGGACTGAGACGAGAGCGCTCCTCACCCGCCTCTTTATACGGGGGTCCGCGGGTCTAGAAGCAGCTGCTGCTGGCTCCTTGTCAAGCTGCAGAGACCATTCGTGGATCCCAGGGTCGGGGGCTGGACCGGGAATATTCGCACGCAGCAGCAGCAGGAATGTCACGGCCCACTCACGTAATTGGTATGTGGTGCATCACGGTGGAGCTCACGGGAGACGGGATATCAATACGGCGGCGTGCGTGTATATATAGCGGCTTGGTGTCCACCAGCTTACACACAGGGCAGAGCGCAGCATACACAACGCATGCTGCACAACGCAGCATACACACCGCATGCTGCACAACGCAGCATACACACCACATGCTGCATAGCGCAGCATACACACCACATGCTGCACAACGCAGCATACGCAACGCAGCATACACACCACATGCTGCACAACGCAGCATACACAACGCAGCATACACACCACATGCTGCACAACGCAGCATACACAACGCAGCATACACACCACATGCTGTACAACGCAGCATACACACCGCATGCTGCACAACGCAGCATACACACCGCATGCTGCACAACGCAGCATACACACCACATGCGCTATCATACACACCGCATACTGCATAGCGCGGCATACACACCGCATGCACACAAAAGATCCCCCGTGTAGCCTGTAACAGGCTGCAGGGGCAAGAGCTGTGAGCGAGGAGCACCTATGGATGTCGGCACGGCACACGAGGGGGTGGGTGGCCAGCACCACGCCCGGACGCCTTTGTCTCCCCAGTGGCGACGATTACTACACCGCACCAGATACTCATTCAAGGCTGGGTCGATCTAGAGGATGCCCGGGACCGATTCAGACAACCGCTATCGTCACTGACGTTAACCACTCCGCCACCGCGTCTGGTACACGTGTACACACACACAGGGAGTGTGTGTACACGTGTACACACACAAGGAGTGTTTGTACATGTGTACACACACACAGGGAGTGTGTGTACACGTGTACACACACACAGGGAGTGTGTGTACACACACACACAGGGAGTGTGTGTGTGTGTACACGTGTATACACACACAGGGAGTGGGGGGGGGTGTAGAGAGGGAGGGGAGAGGGGAGAGAGAGGGGCGGGGGTGGAAGAGAGAGCGGCTTGTGGAGAGACTTTTTTACTTTAAACAACTTTTATTGCCGCCAGCAGCAACAGCACTGGAGGCGATTTCGAAATGAAATACACAAAGTCACCAGCAACACAAATACACAAAGTCACCAGCAACACAAATACACAAAGTCACCAGCAACACAAACACACAAAGTCACCAGCAACACAAACACACAAAGTCACCAGCAACACAAATGAAAATAAACACTACAAATCCACGCGCTGTGGCGCTAAAAGCACCGCGCACAACACGAAAGAAAAGTCACGTGGTGGTGGTTGTGGTGGTGGTGGTCGTGGTGGTGGTGGTCATCGCGCACGCCACGGTGACGAGCGAGCGCTTCAGAAGGTGAACACGTGGGGGGTGCCGTCCACGCTGGTACAGAGAGGGGCTTCTCCGGCTCCCCAGCGTTCGAAGAAGACGCGCTGCACATCACCGACACGTGTGTGTGGTACATGGCGTGCTCCAGCCGGAGCCGCGCCTTGAGCAGGCCTCTGAACACTGGTTGTGGAGAGAAGGCGTGGGACACACGCATGCACACGTCCACGTGAACACACAGGCACGTGGAGAGTTCGGCATGGGTGAGGGAGGGGTGGAGAGAGATACTGAGAGATAAGGAGAGAGATTAGGAGAGAGATAAGGAGAGAGATTAGGAGAGAGATTAGGAGAGAGATGAGGAGAGTTATTTAGCCTTAAGACCAAATCCAACGGGACGTTCCCGGACTGATCTCGGACTTGGACTCTGGATTGAGCCCGGCCACCGTGTGTAGAAGGTGCTATAGGCTGCTGCGGGAGGCTTGGAGCTCACATCCAATGCTGTGCTGTAGTTCTATGCTCCCGCGTCTCATGATTCCCAGGGGAGACCGACACACTGCACAGTACTTCCACATGTTCAGTGCCATGGCCAAACGTGCGGCCAATTGGACAGCGCCACCCTCTCCCCACCCCGCAACACTGCAGGAATGGGCCAATCAAAAGTCAAAGATCGCCGCTCTCAGAGCGTCCAAGTTGCAAATCTACGGGGCAGGGAGTGAAGCTCAGCACCAGACGCGCCTCTCCCCCGGTGGGCAGTGATGCTTTAGAGCAGGGGTGGGGATCGTGCGGCCCGCGGGCCGTGTAGGGCCCGCGGAATCACTTGGTCTCTGGCCCTGCCCAAGGCAACCGCAGGCGGGACTCGAAATTCAACAGATCTAGGAGCAAACCTGGAAAAGCAGTTGCGAGTAGCGACATCTATTCGGTAAAGTCACGTAGGTAAAAAATAAAACAACAAAAAATACGACGTTTCGGCCACAACACAAGTGGCCTTCATCAGGTGAAGGGACCGGACTGTCCAGAGGACTGTCCAATGCGTATAACACGAAGAGGACAGTCCTCTGGACAGTCTGGTCCCTTCACCTGATGAAGGCCACTTGTGTTGTGGCCGAAACGTCGTGATTTTTTTGTTGTTTTATTTTTTACCTACGTGACTTTACCGGATAGAACCAAAGAGTATGGATCCTTGCAGTCACGAAAGCTTCAAATCTAGAGCAGCGACATCGTCAATACCAGCTAACAGCGTCACAACGCCTCGCCAAAGAGAAGCAGTTCCAGACATCACATTAGGGGTGAGTTAATTAAATGTTTGACCAAATATAACGGGCTAATTTATAAGTTGATAATTTTGTATGGTCCCGCGAATGATGTAATATAAATATCCAAATGGCCCTTGGCATAAAAAAATGTTCCCCGCCCCTGCTCTGGAGCATTGATGTGGGGCATTTATGGCACCCCCACCCCCACCCCCTTTCCTCCCTCCCTTGATTCTCTTCTCCCAGACGGCGATCGATCGCAACTAAGACGAGTTTCCACTGCACTGTGATCCGTCATGCGCGTGGTTTGTGCTGGCGTCACCCCCACCTTGGTGTGGCCCCTGACGAAGTCTTGTTAATCATAACATCACTTTGGGGGAAAGAACCGTTTAAAGCGGCCACGAACCGGTAACCAAAATGGGACCCCTTTTTCCAGTATCAAAGTGTAGAGGATGTTGAGGTCATCCCCACCCACTTACACCGCACAACCAGGGGTCAAGGGTCACGGGAGCGCTGCCGTGTACGGCACGCAAGAGGATCGTTGAGTGGAGGACACTCTGACCGGACTGGTCCCAGGAGGATTAACAGAGTGAGGAAAGCCCGAGAAGGATTGGCAAAGGGGAGACAACCCCAGTAGGGTTCACCCCGAGAAGGGAATGGGTGTTAAACAAAGGGGGGGGGGAGGGGGGGAGAGACGGACGATGGAAGGGAGAGGAGTTGGAGGGTTCGAGGTTGGTTTTTAGATGATGAGTGAAAGTACGGAAATAATGATCCTGCTGAACCATCTCAAGTCTCCTCTTCAAAAGACAAAATAAGATTTGGTGAGACGAGGCCCTGAAGAAGGCTGCCGTGTCTGGTATAGTCCAGGCAGTTTCAAAGACAATGCGTATAACACGATAATTGCATTATTGTTAAAGACAATACATACATAAGTCATCATATATTATTATAATGGTCTACTAACACCGCTCGTGAGACGAGATTATCGCGCAGGCTGTTGTCTGTGGTGCACGCCAAGCAGTTTCAAAGACGATGCATTTACATTACAGGAGCATGTTTGGCCTGGATGTTCACCGCAAATTCCGTGTGCGGTTAATGCAGCTACTCGATTGCTTGCAAAAGGCTCCCATTTGGTGTTTGAACATTTTAACATAACTTCTGTTTCATTGCCAGAAAGGTTGAAACCTATTCTTGTTTTCTCGAACCGGTAACCGTTTGCAGCGGAGCGTGGCCAACGAATCGCGCCGATTAGTTCGCCCTCTCGATTGCACAAACGGCACGGCCCCCCCCCCCCCCCCACTGCGTGGTTACAAAATGAAGGCATTGGGCGGTACTTTGGCATGTGCGCTGCATAAATAAAGAACCCATTTTACACAATTTTGGGAAATAACTATTTTACTTTCCCGCTCCTCGTAACCCCCGGTCAGAAAGTCGTGTGGGCGCCTCTCCGTCGAGAAGGTAAAGGCGCAGCCCTGCAGTCGCCCGCTCGCTCACGCCGCCTCCGCCGTTGGGGAGGAAGGAGGCTCGCTCGTCCTCGCCAGCGGTGGGGGTGCCCACACTTTACCCCACCGCGCACGGCTCTCCTCCACGGCTGAACCCAGGGGGGGTCTGCAATCTGCAGGCTGCGAAGTCGTTCACCATGGAAGTCCAGTTCACCATGGAAGTCCAGTTCACCATGGAAGTACAGTTCACCATGGAAGTCCAGTTCAATGTGGAAGTCCAGTTCACCATGGAATAGCAGTTCACCATGGAAGTCCAGTTCACCATGGAAGTACAGTTCACCATGGAAGTCCAGTTCAATGTGGAAGTCCAGTTCACCATGGAATAGCAGTTCACCATGGAAGTCCAGTTCACCATGGAAGTACAGTTCACCATGGAAGTCCAGTTCAATGTGGAAGTCCAGTTCACCATGGAATAGCAGTTCACCATGGAAGTCCAGTTCACCATGGAAGTACAGTTCACCATGGAAGTCCAGTTCAATGTAGAAGTCCAGTTCACCATGGAATAGCAGTTCACCATGGAAGTTCAGTTCACCATGGAAGTCCAGTTCACCATGGAAGTACAGTTCAATGTGGAAGTCCAGTTCACCATGGAAGTCCAGTTTACCGTGGAAGTCCAGTTTACCATGAAAGTCCAGTTTACCATGAAAGTTCAGTTTACCATGAAAGTTCAGTTTACCATGAAAGTCCAAAGTCCAGTTCACTGTGGAAGTCCAAAGTCGAGTTCACCGTGGAAGTCCAATTCACCATGAAAGTCCAGTTTACCATGAAACTCCAGTTTACCATGAAAGTCCAGTTTACCATGAAACTCCAGTTTACCATGAAAGTCCAGTTTACCATGGAAGTACAATTTACTATGAAAGTCC